CGACTATAAAAAATTTTGACTTCAATCCTCGAACGGAGCTTCAACTATATCATGCACATTCTCTTATTACACTTCTTCAAGGGCTTTCTCCTTCATTTCGTACTAATTTTAAAGTCTTGCAAGACTTTATTGGTGCACACCATCCATTCGAGACCATACCTGTCAATACTTGTTTTCCTGCCTATCCATGGATTGCTAGGCAATCCAAACATATTTATGATATGGGCCGTGCAACTGAAATATATTTGAATTTCGGTATGGACGCCGTTGACTCGCTCCGAGACTGGAATGATGAGTTTCAATCTCAACGTGAATACCCAAGGGTCGAGTTAAGAGATCGGGTGTTACGCGAAAGACTTATTAATAAAATTCAGGCCGATTTCACAGAGAGTGCTGTCAAGGGTGCCATTGCTGTTATTAATGGTAATGTCATTCCTTTTAATCCTCGTGATCCCGAGGACGAACACATGTACGTGTACAACAACATTTTTTTCAGTAAAGCGTTTGATACAAGAGGGACATTTTCAAAACTTGGTGGGAACGATGCTGCACATGTAGCCACCGGAAAAGACATGGAAGGAATACGAACTGTGAATTCTATTGACATAGAAGGGTTATATACACTTGGTTGTGTTGTTATAGATTATAAGGGTGTCCGCATAGTTGCGCAAACTATTGTACCAGGTTTACAAAATTTATTTTGATTACTCTGTTCTTGCACATTTGAAATTTCTCATTTCCGCTATTTATATAGGAATTTTCAGGCGTCAAGATGATTCTTCTATTGTATACGGTTATTTTGACAATGGACGTGACAATCCGAAATTATGTGCTAATGCGGAGTTCCACGAAATAGTAGGGAAAGCTGCAAAAGCACTTCATCTTGAAGAACACAGGTAATATTTCGGGTTATACTGTTTCTTTCTTATAAATAAATGATATTTTAAATCTACTTTGCCCATAAATTCAGCGTTTGTGATGCAAAAGGAACAACAGTTAAACTTTACACTTCTTTGGAAACAAAGGTTTGATATTGAATATTGATATATTTGAATCTTTGTTTAAATATCGTAGCGGCTGATGGTAAAATTACGTCGATCTTTTTTTTTTTTGTCGGCAAAAATTATTTGTTATAGATCAGTCTAATATATTGTAATAAATTTATATATGGAAATATTAGCATCAGCCGTAACAATTGTAAAAATTTATCTAAATATTTCATCTAAATACATTACTGCTAGGGCTTGATGGGTGACGATGGACGGCGGTACTTGTTCGATCTGTATCGCCTTAATCCGGTTGATATAGAATTTATAGAAAAAGAGTGCGAGCCTAAGGAAGGGAGCGATATCCCCACCTATCCTCACAGATTGGCGCTTCTTAGACCAGAATTGATAGAATCATATTGGGATTATAGATTCCGGTTGTGGTTGCAAGATAAAGCCAAAGAAAAAGTATATAAAACCAAATATTTACGTTAACATATTTCGTTTTGTTTCCTTTAATGTACCTATATTGAGATTAACAAATTTATTCTCATCATTAAAGGAGGCTGGCGATTCGACTAAGGAAGCAACAATCACCGAATCTGATGAGTTTAATTTAGCTTTTAATCCGGATGCATTTACAAATTTTAATACGCCGACGGGAGAGGAGCATGCAGCACGCAAGGCTGCTGATGAAGAAAATGTGCGGAATGCATCAAAATATTTGAGAGATACGGTTATTCGGATGTTGGTGTGTACTTGTTAATATGTAACATTGTCAAAAAAATTTTCTCTTTATCCATATTTGATCTTTATACAACAAATAGATTATAGAATTTACTACCCTAGCTGTATCCCCTGTTGACGGAATATCCCTCACTACAACGATGCACCGTCGGGGAATCAATATGCGGTATTTGGGAATGATTGCTAATATTATTAATGAATCACAGGATCACAAATTAGATCATGTAAAGGTAAATCGTCTTATGATTCTTATGATTGATCATCATGATCATCATGACCATCATTACGGAAGGGGTCGGACAGAATTCACGTGATACTGTTAGAGTGTTTTCTGAACTAGAACCGCTGTTCTTTAACTGCATGAAACTGATTTGTTCGCGTTTAATTTATATAGCATCTTATTATACATGAAATGATAATTCGAGCATCAAAACGCATCCTTCGTGGTCTTCTTCGCCAAATCACGAATACGTACATCCCATATTGTGTTTCACATTTTTTGAATTGCTTATTAGGCACAGATGTTAATATAAACCCCCAGCCTTTAGTACCAGACTCCACTACTAGTAATAAAAACCTTGAATATGATTACCTGACCCTTACACCATCGTCACTTTGCCAACAAATTCACGAAACGGTACTTATACGTTACCGTTATCGACTTCCCGAAGATTTCATTAATGCTCACGTTCGCAAATTACCGTTGCTTAGAGAGATATGTCTACGAGTGGGTGTACAAATTGCAGCTCAAGGATATAATTTTCTGAAAAAGAAGTCCAAAAAGAGGGTTACTACATTTGTACCTGATGACATACTAAACCTTATCCCAACAATCAAGCAAGCAACACCCAAAGTAAAATTAGGAGGAACTTTGCGTTATTTCTTTTTCTTTATTATAGTTATTAATGCATGTTGTTATAAATGCAGTGTGCTTTTGCCGAAGAAACTTTTGAAACCGGAAAACTTAGTATAGCACAAGGTATGATTAATTTATTATGCAAAAATTTTCTCGATATTTATTCTGTATTATATATGCCAATGACTATTTGATATTTTTATACTAGGCAATAGAGATCTTGGTGTTGATCTCATGCTACAATCGCTTGCATTACATGAGCAAAGTTATGGGTTTCTACATCCAGCAACAGCAAAATGTTATTCAGCGTTGGCTATGTGCTTTTATCATAATGAAGACTTGGAAATTGCTATTGACTTTCAAAAAAAA